TGAAGGTATTGCCTAGGGCTTAGGGTATTGCTTTGCACAAAAGAAGCTAACACCACTCTTCAAAATGTTGTTTGGTAGAAAATCTTTACGCACGATTTAATTGAGATTTTGCCATAGAATCCAAATTCTTTCTGCACTTCGAGTATTTTACAAATACTGTAAGAGTAACGAGAAGTTATCTTTAATTGAAGCAACGTTGCGTATTTAAGAGTAATCAACAGAGTGCTGCTTAGAAAGTTTCGAAATTCAAAATACTTCCGGAGAGAGACGAAAAAACCGAATGTTCTTACAATCGTTTTAATTTTTTCCGTACTTCATTTGCAGCGGAATTTCAAAATAAATTGCACATCAACATTGCCACTTTTTCTCCTCTACAACAACGCATAACTAGAATTTCAATATGACTTTTCGTATCTTGTCTTGTATTTTGGAATCCCATCTCAAACAAAGTCAGGAAAAACTAAAAATAATTCTTACTTCAAGAACCACATAGGAAATTCTTCTTTTTTAATTAACCAAAGTTAAAAATCCGTTTTTCCGTCTCTCTCCGAAAGTACTTTGAATTTCGAATCTTTCTAAACGGATTCTTGTTAATTACATAAATACGCAACTTTTCTCCCATTCAAGCGAATTCGTATCTCTTACAGTTTCCGAGATGCCAACGGTAAGGATCGAATTTGAAACACCCTGTATAGAGTGCAACGATGGTCTCAATATTAAATAGATTTAGGAATCCTATACGAAACCTACGCGCTTCAACATTGCTTTTCAATCTTAGCATGCATTCTAAAATTATTTGATTATGCCGCAAATTATTTTTGGGTTTTTCTTTTGACCGACATATTAACCCCAAAACATAACCTCGTTAGACAGTCGGGTTCCATGAATTCAGCATGGAAGTTGTCGGGCACTATTACCGTTTGATTGTACGAATAATTACTAAATAATTATCAGAAATATAAATAATATCGTCGGACAAGCTCATTATAGCAATTTTTTGTTGGTCAACGGTGTTTTCAAAATTCCTTGTCAAATTAGCTCCAAAATCCATAAGTATGGGTGTTCCTTAATAATATGCGAATATTTAAAGATGTGAATCTACATGAAAACTTAATGTTAGTTTGCTATATAATCTATGGTCCAAAAATGTTTCTTTACAAAAAGTTTTAGCAAAAAAATTGAAATTAATTAATATTTTCAGAATCGTTCAGATCTTTCACTGATATTCAGTACGTAGTGAAAGTTAATAAAGTTGCATATTTTTGAATACAAAAATAATTTTTAGCTTTAACAGTGACGTGCGTACGTGTATTGACTTCGATATCTTTTAAGAAAAAAATGGTACGCCAATGGTTTTTTGCCAAATAAAAATTATTTTTGAATTCCCGTTCAATTTAAAATAAATGATCTTTCTTGAGTTGTTTTCCTTTGGCGTGCTATTTTTTTAATATTGAAGTCAACACCGGTCCGCACGCCACTGTTGAAGCTAAAAATTATTTTTGCATTGACAAATATGCAACTTTATTAACTTTCACTACGTACTAAATATCAGTGAAATGTCTGAAGCAGTTCTGAAAATATTAATAATTAATTTCTATTTTTTTCCTAAAACTTAAACACCCCGAGTTTTTGTAAGGAAACATTTTTAGACCATAGTTTATAAAGCAAACTAACATTACTTTTTGTTATTTATCACATAACAATAAGTCATGAATTCGAAGTGTCCCATTCCAAAAGGCACCATTTACAAAAAAGCTTGTCGGACTCACTAAGAGGCATCTGTATGCTAAGTTTGCAGTATAGATTAATCATTCAATAAAAATAGGTTACGTACTGTGGGCTACATATGCTAAAACGTTTTCTTGAGTCCCATTTACTTGTAGTGGCTACTGAATTGGAAAGGTATTGCCTACCCTGTATTCCGTTGGATCATGTAGCTTGATTAGCGCTGTCAACCCGACTACACGTCACAAAAAAAAGAGGACTACACTTGCGGGTGGGTGTGGTACACAGTCTCTAATAATCGAATTACTTGTCCGCGGTTCCGCACCATTGCGCACATCAGAAAATTGCCCTTTGTATATAAATGGCCAGCAGCCAGTCATTCGAGAGCGTTGACGTTATTTTCGTCGTTTTGGAGGTGTAATCAAAATCGAAAGTTTGCCGTACGGACAAAGGCGTTTCTGTGATGCTGAGATCATTCATATAGTGTTGCCGGTAGTCCCCTCCGTAACCTTTCTGCCATAACAATTCAGCTACACGACCACAGGTCCGCATCGGATGCATTGGAATATATAGCTCAAGAGTATAGTCTGGAATATATTAAATAAGAGCAATCAATAAGACAATATGAATAGTTTGTTTTTTAAAAGGATGATTCAGATATGAGTTAACAAAGTGACGTTTAGCCTTGTTGGTCAACGCCACCCTATTCAGAGTATAAGGTCTGTTAAAGTAAGACAACACGAATTGCCATCTATTACCAGAATCGACCGTTACGAACGTGGAAACAGCAAGCTATCTGTTGAAACTGTATCCCACTTCGCATTGCCAGTCGGGTCACCTCTGTGGCCGCTAGATGCGACCGATTCTGGTCCTATATTAGATACGGTCTTGAGCAAGCTAGTAATATACTCTTAATAGGGTATAGTTAAGCTATTATTATTAGTTTGGTCAGATTATTTTTCAAATGATATGTTGTTTGTCACTCATTGGTCTGTATAATCTTCGAAAAACTATCCAGCGGAGGCAGAGCTGCGGGCTAAAAAAAAAAAGTTGACATCGTTCAACTTTCGTTTTTTGACACTTCAGAGGCTCCTGACCATTTTCGAAAAAAAATATAGCGGTTAAAAATTGGTGCTCGTGGTTGTAGAGAATGAGGAGAGTATATGGTAATTTTCTGGCGTTAGTATATTTATAGGCTTCGAACCCCCGGAATTCTATGCACCTACTAGATATATTTCGTACATTTTATATTTCCCGGTACATTTGAGAGAAAGAAGACCGCGGCGAACCGCAAGGTAGGTCACAGCTATTTGCCAGATGGTTGGCGCATTGCTGGTACAGCAGGGGAAAATTCCTCTGGATTAATTGTATGGACATGTTTGACTGGCTTCGTACTTCTAATTCCATTGATATATATGTTTGTAACTCAAATGGGCTAACTTTTGCCAAACATAATCCTTTAAAAACTGATCACAGAGTTGCATACAAAGTGCAAAGTCAACCTACTTGACACCATTTTCCTTGTTAACGATATTTGATCAGGTGGTCAGTGTACAGCGAAAAATAAATAAAATTAAACCACAATGTTGGTGTCGTACTTTTCGTGTCAAAAACCAGGTGAACTATTTTCGCGATGCTTCTGCAGAAGTTTTCGAAATATTTTATACCACACAATGAGACTCCAATTATTGAAACTCAACAAAGCAACACTGCGCTGTGAATTTCCTATATCCAAGGTTCCGAAAACAATTCAAGGTATTAATCGCGTCAGGAAAATGGAATCAAATCCCAATTATCTTCCCTTATGCCTGTGACGTGAAAGGGAATAGAGCGAAAATTCAAAATAAAAAGCCATTTCGTGTAAGAGTACAAGGGGTGTCGCGTCAATTGCGCCGAAATAATTGACGTCTGAATAAAAAGAAAAGGGTTGTGCCAATTAAAGCGGTGAATTGCTGCCAGAGAACACAGGTCGTCACCCCTCGCCCTTACATTTTTCATGACTTGGGGGTGTTATTAAAGGACAATTTTTCATGATTTCTTGCATTTGTATGAAACGACTCAATTTTGAGCAACACCTATGAAATTTTGTATTGTTGCCTACACTTCGAGTAGCTAACTATAAAAAAACGGAGTCAAGTGGATTTACTTGGTACATGCATTTGACTGAATCCCTTTGAAATTGGGCAAGGAACTTTCCGAGACCCCTAATATTGTTTGATATGCACTCAAAATTAAATCACCAAAGAATATATAGGATGTCTAAAAAGTATGAATATATAAATATACCTCGAAAAATACGTTTCCGAGAAATAAACGAAAATAGTACAAACTTGCAAGGTTTGAAAAGGTTCATCGTAAACGAAACCTTGATTGTAAGCTTCAAGGCCGTTTTGAGGTCAAGGTACTTTTTCTAAATGAAAACCCCTATCTCAGATACTGGAAATGTACAGAGCTGAAAATGTTACCTCCAAGTATGTCTGCTCATGACCTTCAGAAAGTATGGAAAAGTCAAAAATGTTCGAGAAACGAGAAACATGTAGCGGAACAAAGTTGTAAAGTTTGAAGAGTGTCAGCGAATGGCGTTCCATCTTGACCTTCAAAGAAATTGAATGTCAAGATGGAAAGCCTTACTTTTGATAGCGGAAATATTGAGGAGTAGAAAACTTTATGTTCACGTATGTTCATGACCATGACATTTGAAGATCAACTTAAGTTTTAACGGGGAATATCTTTTTGTAATTTCTGGAATGTAAATTGCGGATAATTCTCCGTCCAGGTATATGCTTCTTAGTTAAATTTACTAAGGTCATTTGAAGGTCATTTTTTTTAGTGCACTCTACTTTTGGCGCTCAAATGATTTTTGTAGAGGGATTCTTGTTTCCAGAACAGTAATTTCACGTCCCGCTAAATCTTTAATCATCGTAAAACATTCAAGGTCGTGGTCAAGGTCAACTTTAGATAATCCTTTTTGAACCTTGCAAGGTAGCATACTTTTGAAGATGTCCTCTCCATACCTTTTGGATACCCTGAAATAATGTGTACTTTCATAGTCAAGGTCATGAACAAGGACTTAGAAGAACGTACATTTTCCAGCTCTTTACATTTCCGGTGTCAAAATAGGGGTCACCTTTTAAGGCATATGTATTGATCTTTGAATGACCTTGAACGTTATAGCCAAGGCCACGTGCAAGATCACTATCCATACTTTTTGGATACCCTGTATACATGGTCATCATGTTTTTGGGATTTTATTTTTGTTTTTTGATACTTAGTAACGTCAACAGCTTTCGAACATTCACTTTTGACACAGTAGCAACGGAAAAGCGGGCATAAAATCCATAAAATAAAAATCTGTCTAACTTCGTTTTTGACGTTTTAGCTAATCCAGCTCGTTTTTGGAAAATGTTTGAGTAGTAAACAATCCGAGGTGGAATGTTGCAGGGAACGTGAGAAAGTATGAGATAAGCCCGTCGCCAGCTAGTCGCTGCCGCAACGTTGTCAAATGGGTGAGTACTGGGAACTCATTGTATATAGGCCTATTTGACTGACTTAATTCATTTATTTCTTCTGTTATACATATTTGTACTAGTGAACTGAATTAAAACTCGGAACTTTCACCACCATTTTCCAAATTCCCTGAGAGCAAATTCCGGAAAAACTGCATTTCCAGAAATTCTGTTTACAGGCTTTTTCATCTGATTATTTCATGGTGTGCAAATGCATTCTTTGTGCGTTCTATTGTGCATTTTTCTTCAGTCATTGTGAACAAATATTAGTACAGCTTTGAAATTGTATGTTAAAATTCTACTTTTATAGTAAATCAATTTACTACAAAATGAGGATACAAGAGAACCAAAGATTTTTCGATGAGAAAATGTGATATGAATAAAAATAATCACTCACTCAATTCTTCCATGAAATTAGAATATTCACATATTATTTTAGAACTGTACTATTATTTGTTCACAATTACGGTTGAAGAAAAAATGCAAAAAACTGCATTTTTTAACAATAAAGGATCTGGTAACATAATTTTTCAGGCATATCTATACACACCACGAAATAATCTAAAAATTATTAAGAATACTCCTGAGACAGGCTGCTGAAAAAAGAAACATGCGAAGTTATTTATCTATTGGCAGTAACTTCAATTTCATATTCCACAGAATCGATTAAACCAAACGGGTTTCTAAAATATCTTGAAATGATTCTTGATAAACATGTATGGTATTGCAAAGGTATCTGTAAAAATATGTATGATCGTATACCAAGAGCTTCTTTCCGCCTTCTATCCCGTGTACACCCGCGTTTCTAAGCCACCTGTTCTGTAAACAGCAGCAACTCCGGGAACAAAGGAACGTCGAGACGCCGACGCCGATCGAAACACGCTCTATTCTCCATCCCCTTTCAGCTCCTTGTGGCTCAAACTCCCTTATATTTCCATCCCTTTTCATATGAATGTACTAACCAAAGTGAAAATGTGCGCGTAAAATACGCATTGGCGTATCATTCAACAAATAAGCTTTGTGTTTACAACAAGCTGCGCAGTCGATATCACTTTGTGCGAAGGAGATTTCCAAGTAGTAGGTACTATATAAACAATAGTTTTCGCGCCGTGGCGTAAGTCGGAATTTCAATTCAGAATAACCCATTAGTATTATATCAATATTAGACCTTTTCTGCTAAGAAATGGGGGCTAGAAAGTCTACTATTTTTGAACTAATCCAAATGAAAGCTCTAAAAATCTACTATTACCGTTTTTTCTTTTTTATGCCGAAGCAGCCGCGGAGGCAGAAGCCTAAATGCCAGGACACCGCGGTTGCTATGAAGATCCCAAAGAAATTTTGTCAATCCGACTTTTGAAGTGGCTAAGGTTAGTAGAACTGGGAAAAGCTTCCTCTTTCAGATTGTTCCACAATCTCGACACTCTCTGGACAAAGGAGCGGTCGTATCGGCCAGTTCTGGATGAACGAAGTTCGACACGGTTAGAATGGGAGGCCGATGTCAGGCGGATCTATCTGGCATGCAGGAGAGTTCTGAGGAGCAAAGCCCGTTGGTGTAGCGCTAGAACAGAGCTAGTTCGCCGACGGCAGCTCCATCAAAACTCTTCTGCTGTCTGTCTCCAGTGACTAGACCTACACTGTACAACGTTGTATACGGTTGGTTATGGTCACAGAGACGGAAAGAAAACACAGCCTGTTCAACTCTAATCTGCTAAATCGTCGTAAATACTAAAACATTGACGATTACAGATTATTTACTGTTTTATTGGTGAGCCTAATAACACAAAATAAAAAAAGTGGTGTATGCTGGGGGGATCACTATATTTTTCCAATCTACTGTTTCCCGCTGAACACAAATCTGAAGTCAGAATTGAGGGTCGCTGAACAAATATGAAAGTAATATAGATCACAGATTTTGGAAATTTTGGTGAAACTGGATCTAAGATGCACATACACCATAGATACAAAAAAGTGATTCTGATAATTAAATTACTTTCATATTTGGTCATCGACTCACAATTCTGACTTCAGATTCGTATTCAGAGAGAAAAAGTACATGGGAAAATATCGTGGGGCCCGAGCTCATACCACTTCTTTACTTTACTGTGTGTAGATGGAGTGGAATCAAAAGATTAATTTCAGTTCATATTTTTTGTTATATTTCATCAATTATTTATAAACGCTATTTTTATATTTCTATTATAAATCGACAATTTTGGAATCCACTGTTTTTTGTGGATGTGGAGTAAATATTGTTCGAGTATGTGAGCCATTGAGGTATCAGAATAATTTTTGGAGTCATCGAATGATCCTGCATAACTATTCTACATCGTGATCTACGAGGAAATCATCTTTGGAAGAAGGTCCATATCGTGTTAGGCCAAACATCTCCAATGGTTAAAAGTTGTCGGGAGAAACTCACTTTTTATCATATTTTTTTTTAATTATCTAAGGGCATTTCAACATCAAAACATATTCCTGCAGACTTATAACCTCAAAAAGAAACATTGACATCAATGACGTTTGACAGTACGGGTTCGACCAACCGATTTCAAGCGCATCGTTTTGGTCATTTTTGGTGTGAAGGTATCTTAACCAGGGATGACCTAGGGCATGATCGTGTTATTTCGCTTGAATCAAGTTTTATTCTACTATTTTAAACAATCATATTGGTCAAGAAAGACCACGATTACCAAATTACTTCGATACAGATCGCGACAGCAACTGTTATTTTATTATTTAAATTGAGTTGCTTAATTATTACAGCATTCAGCTTATCCAACAGACCAACCGCCATGTGTTTTTTTCTTGATCTTTCGAGAACGGATTGCAATCACTGAAACTCGACCTTTAAATATAGCATTTTACCTATAGTTAATTTCTACGAACACATTGGTATAGTTACTTACAGGAGCAGTGTCAGAACTTACGTTAACTAAATAAAACGGTTATTTTGAAATAAAAGAATACCATTTGTAATCACGGGTCGGCTGTGAATCCATATTCAATGTTTCGGCAACAAGTCACTAAAAAGTAGAACAGCATAGAGCTGCAGGTTTGGAAGTGATCAATTTTAGTGTCCATTTGGTACAAAAATCATTGTCATAAAGTTCAAAAGCGCTGACTTGCTTCCGGTAATACATAATCGTGGGAGATAAAATTACTAAGCCGCAGAAAACCTTGGTTAGGGCAGTTTTTTCCATTTATGTTAACCAGGCTAACATAAACAAACGTACAGATAATTCAACAATAATACTCATTTCCTGATGATATAAATAATATATTTAATATCTACGTATATTAAATAATATAGCCATGGTGTTATACCGCACGCGGAGAGTAACATAAGAGGCAACCGAGTTTTTGAACAGTTTAGTGGCGTTGATCTTATACAGAAAATTTGCTACTGTCATTATGAAATATTCAAATTAAGTTATAAAAGTATGTTAAACAGTAAGAGATATAATGCACATACCTCTTATTGCGTGATACAAATAATTTTTTGAAATGTGAACTTGAATATTTCACTGTAATAGTGCCGGATTTTCCCTAGGAGTGTTTTGCCATGTGTATCAACAAAACATATTGTAAATTGTTCAATGTTCGAAAGCTTTTCTTTAGATAAGTAACAAAGGGCTCATCAAAACAAAGGTCCATCCTATGTGTGAAGCGTCGCTAACAAAAACATCCTGAAATTATGTTGTGACCAGACTGTCTTTGTTTACATACAAAAAAATGATGATTAATGTCCTCTCACCTCGTCATTGTCGCTGGCATCTGTGTCCATAAAATCACAAACCGAGTCACTGGATCAGCGTCCATTCGCCGCTGTCAAAACAACAACAAACAAAAATCCTAGGCGGCGCGGCCTGCGGTCACCGTCCGCGGGTTCCGTTACTCGGCACACGCGATTTCTCTTGCCTCGTCTATATCTCTATATCAACCGCTATCATCACTCGTCGTACCGCTACCAACTACTTTCGTTTTCCAGCGTCTGGTTTTCAACAGGGTACCAATGTTGAGGAACAGCGGATGGCGGGTCTCCCTTCCCTTTTCCCTTGTTCCCTTTCGCGGTGCGGCTTAGAGCGGGACGCCGTGTGTTTATGTCACGTGATTGGCAACGGCGGTAGCGGCAGTCGACGCGAAGGGACGCGATTTTCCATCGCCACCCCCACCCGCCCGCAGCAGCCCTTAAGCGACGCTAAGGTGGCTCCAAGGACGCAGGACCGGCTTTAAAGAATTTGGGGCTGGGAAAAAATGTAGTTCTCCCCAAAACCAGAAATCCATCGGATTAAGGTCAGGAGACCTTGCTGGCCATTTTCGAGGATCAGGAGCATTTCGAACAATCCAGCGATTTGGATAATGTTCATTCAAATACTGAATGACGCCTCTAATGTAGGCAAAATATATGTGACTTATTAAGTTTAACAGGTGCATAGTATCACTGATCTAACGACTATCTGTACCATGAAAGTATTTAACTCACGATAATATTCGCACTTCGGTTCACAAGTTTTCTGTTGCTTAAAGATATCTGCATCACACAAGTCCGTGATTTTCATTTATGTCGGTTTGTCAATCCGTGTCAGTTGTATATCAATGCGTCATATGTACTGAGTCAATCTACTTGACGAAATATTCAGAGAACCACCATAGACTGAGTCACACCAATTCCAGGTTAGGCGAATTGTGTGATACATTCAATGATCATGAAAATCAGAAAAACGTATGGGTAGATACAAAAACAGTTAAGTCATCGTTAAAAGCATCGCAGAACGCCTAAGTGGCACGTACCCATAATATCCAAATATTGGTAAGATATATAAATATTTCTCATGTAGCTGTGTGTCAGTGACGCCACCACCACACAGGGTTTCCAGGTTTTCAGTCACGTTGGTCGCCAAGTTTTGATGAGAAAATCGCCAGAAATCGCCAATCCTTAAAGTTAAAATTAACTATAAAGCTCCAGGTTAGAGACTGGAATGGATTTGTCGCCAGGGGGGTGGAGTAGTGACTGACCTAACCGCCTAAGTAGCCTGCCTGTTGATGATAACTGAAGAGCGGTGTTCAGGGGGGCGGGGGGAGGGGGGGGGGGTGGTAGCCATAATAATACTCCAAGAATCCATTGAAAAGTGGGGAGTGAGGATGGGGGGTTGTTTGACACGTATAAGGGGGGCGGATCCAGAGGTTGCGAGGCTTCTGGCGAATGTTCTTGTGATATTGTGACAATGCGAAAACGGGGAGGAGGGTGACCGACTAATGAAAATTGAAGAACGGGGAGACAATAATTTTCTGCGAATTTAGCAACACTGTGTCAAAAGTGTTATTATGGGATGTCGTTGATATGCTCGCAACACGACACCTTGACATGACATTTGACATTGTTGTTAGAGAACAGAACTGCCGCTTGTCCTCGTCTCATGTTTCATTAATCTCTCCGGAAAACCAAATTTGTCTGGCGGCTTGAGTTCAATGTGTTCGAGAGAGAAGTGTCTATAGACACATACGTTAGAAAGAGATAGAAGCCGGCTGGATAGCGAAGCTCATCACCGCATTGCCTATCAACGCTGACGCGGAAATCTGCCTCATTGCCATTATGTTACACCAGTTCATTGAATTGAGGTGCATGTTGAAATCATGCGTTAGTTTACTCAGTACGCTCGAATAATGATTTTATTTTGAGCGTACATATTTTTTAATTGTGATTTGTGTCGAATCTGTTTGGGATCGATTCCGGATCGGCCCTAATGGTGCTGCATTTAAGGTCGGAATGAAGGGCCAGGATCGTCATAAATCCAGCAACATTGCATCATTGGTTCGTTTGATAACACCGGATTTTGTATATTCCAAGGCAAAATTTCTACCTCCATGATCATAGACGAGCGATTTTGGTCAGTACCGATCTAGCGCCCATTGGGGAATGTCGCCCTGCTTCGAGTAGGTCTCCTTCTTGGGTTTGACAGTTACCTAACCTATTGTAGAAGCGCCTGTGTGAACATTTTTTGGTGTAACATTTTGGCAACCCAAAAGCTTGCACGAGCTTCTGCGTCGCCGTTGCTAGGCCATCGCTCTTCAGCCGGCTTCTATCTCTTTCTAACATGTGTCGATACACACTTCTCGCGCTTCTCTCTCGTACACATTGAACTCAAGCCGTCATAGTTGGTTCTCTCTGTATATACATATCAGCAAAAATTGCACGCAACGCAAAATTATGTCGAATTATGCATCAGACTTTTGTCATTTAAATTTCCCGTTATTACCAAGACCAGAAGCTTCTTGATGATAACACATCACATTTACAGCCCCCCACCCCTACAAGCCTTAACCCCAAGTTTCAACCGATACAAAAAGTCCTAGCTTCGTCACCACTAGACATATTTTCAAAAACTACAAAGCTTTTTCGTGCTTTGCATAATAGAAACATTTTGTGAAAATTTCAACAAAATACGAGTGGTACCTCTCAACTTATAATATTAGCGAACAGGCCGACAGACAAACCGACGGAAATAAGTGACAAGGTTTTTTGTGATGTAATTACATGTCATATAACATCCAGAATACGTAATATTTCAATTACGAAATTTTTACATTAGTTTTGGCATAGGACGTAAAGCCTCTATTATGTGTGTCATTAATTTCTGTTTATTGAACTTTTCAGGAATGGCTGTTTTCTTGTTTCGGACAAGTTGGGTTTTGTTCGATTTTGTTGGACCTTAACGATGGCTACGTTTAGATTTCTTTTCGCATCCTGGCGATTTCAAGCCAAGCTTATACAAGAGATAGAAAATGTCTTTAATCACCGTAAGTGGCGCAGAATTATTGCACTGTGAATTGTACATACTTTAACGTTACTGTAACAACTTAAACTGCAAGATAAATAAATTCTGGAAGACTTTATATTTTCTGAAGCTGATAACGAAGTAAAGTGCTCCTTTACTTCAGTTTTTTCTTTTCACTACGTTTAGAAATCCTGTCTCCACCTCGTCACTCAGTGGGAATGTCACCTCTATACAGGGTGTTCCATAATTATTGCGACAAAATGATAGGGGTTGTAGAGGGCATCAAAATGAACAATTTTTCCTTATAAACCCCTGTTCGGAAACATGCCGTTTGGGCTGCAGCAAAAAAAAAAGATCAGTTTCTTGAAACAGCTTACCTACAGTAATTGCTCAAAGTGTCCTCCACCTTGCTCAATACACACCTGTGCACGATTGTTCAATGATCGGCGAACTCTGTGGCATACCCCCGGTATGTCCTGAACATGTGCGGACGCGGCCATCACTCTTCCCAGTAGCTCTTGTTGGTTGGGAACAGGAGTTTCGTACACTAAAGCTTTCAGATAGCTCCAGATAAAATAATCCAGTGGAGTCAGGTCAAGTGACAGGGCCACCTCGGCCTATCCACCTATTTGGAAATTTGTCGTCCAAATACTGCCGCACTTGTAAAGAAAAGTGGGCTGGACCGCCATGGTGTTGAAACCACATGTTGGCTCTTATATTCAGTGGCACATTTTCTAATAGTTCCGGTAGCACATGCTGTAAGGATCGACCATAAGCATGCCCATCCAAACGTGGTGGAAGCAGATATGGCCCGATGATATGCTCGTCCACAATGCCGCACCAGATGTTAATTGAAAACTGATGTTGGTCTCTATGGATGGCTATGGCATGAGGGTTTTCTTCATCCCAAATGTGACTGTTACGGCTATTAAAATAACCGTCCTTTGTAAAACAGGACTCGTCAGTGAACAAAACGTAGCGACCAAAGTTTGGTTGCCTCAACTCCTGCTGCAGCCACCAACGACAAAAACGTCGACGCGGCAGATAGTCTGCTGGACCCATGGCTTGGACTTTTAAAAGGTGGTACGGGTGTACGATAACAAAAATGTAAACACAGCAGGCTTTTTCTACAAACCGGCGAGACCATGAAATGTGCTAGACGAACATTTTGCAGCTGGTGAATTTTTTGTTTCTCCTATGAGCTCTTAAGGTAAAATTAACTGTAGTGCTCAAACGGCATATTTACGAACAGGGGTTTATAAGGCAAAATTGCATATTTTTATGCCCTCTACAACCCCTATCATTTTGTCGCAATAATTATGGAACACCCTGTATATAGTTTTTGCCACAGTAGCAATTTGGGCGCTAGATATACCTAGACTGGTCATAAGACATTTTTTGCGAAAGAAATGATAAACATGGAAACAGCTTAGGTCTTTCACTGCGTACTTCTGTAGATTACCTTCGTCGTTTTGACAGGACAGGACAGACAAATATCAGATGCGTTAATTTTTGGTCTCGTAATATTTGATTTGGTGTTTCTTAGAATGTATTTCTACAGTGTGTTTATTGGAAATAAACATGATGCTGAACTGCTGCAAAGAGACTTAGATCATATTTCTCTATGGTGTGGAGTGAACGCTTTACTTACTCTTACAGCATCAACGGTAGATCTTTACAAACTACGGACCACGTCATGGACTTGTGAGACATTTTTAACTCAACATTACCATTTAGAATGCATATTTGAAAAACAATTAACTGTGCATATAAGATGTTATGCTTTAAAAATCGCCATTGTATTTATCTGTTTTTTGGTTCGTTCCTTACTTGAGTATTACTGCTCCATCTGGTCCCCAAGTTACAACTTGCAGATCAACCAATAAGGGCGTGTGCAAAAAATTTTGAGAATCTGTGGATATTAAATGGGTTTCATTGCGGAGCAGTATAGTTATTTATACTGATACTCTTTTCTACGTGACTATGACTTCTCGCAGGTTGGAATTTGACACTTTTCTTGCACAAAATTATCAATGGTCACATAGATTGTCCCCAACTGTTAGGAAAAGCTTTGCTACAATGTGATTGTTAGTTACAAGCAGAACTTTAATAAATCAACTAAAAACGGCAGGGATCGTAGATACCAGCCATCGGCGATCGTTGCTGTCAAAGTTTGTGTAAGTAGCGATTGTCCACCAACTGTGGTGGCAAATCTGAAGGATTTAAGATCTAGGATTGTGCTCCCACTACGAAATCGTTTAGAGCCGGCACTGTGTCACATCTCCCTCCCTGTGGTGCATTTGAATGCACTGACAAATCTTAGAGGGCGAAAAGAAATAATGCATCTCGTTTGAAGCACCCTATTGACGCTAGCTGTACAGTCGTATCCATAATGTTATATACTTGCGCCGATAGCGCTTGCATTATTAGATCTGTACCATGTTCAATTTTCTGTTTTATACCTGCGAAATGGGCAATGAACTGCACAAACATCTAATTGTTTTATCTTATCAGGCCCAGAACTTCACCAAAATCAGTATAACACTTTCTGCGAGTACGGGGTCACACAAACGTCAACACAAAAGATACAAATTGAGAAACCACTGGCAATGCGTGACTCCGATTTTAGATATTAAAAAACCCGATTATTTGGAATTATAAAATTTTTGCAACGATAGTACTTCTATACCCCATTGGTAGTCCATTTACGCCCAGACAAAACACAGCATGCTCAAAAGCGAGATTGTACAGGTCCGTATTTTCCTCAATGGTCTTGGAAGAGTCTAACAAAATGAATGATTTTATTTTTATAGAAAGAAGCGCACATACTTTTCACAATTCTTTATTCGCTGGAAGTACTTGAATCATCGTTCAAATGGTTAATATTAATTATTACAGGTTTAATTTGAACATCGATCATATTGTCCAGATCTCACATCTTTGTTTCGATTGTCTCTTGAACGTGACGGGATGCAATCTTTCCAATTCCAATTCCAAAATTTTTCATGTCAGAAAATTTGAATGTTCTGTTGTTGGAATGCACACAGTTTTTTATATTTGCCCAAATCATTTCATTGGGATTTAATTCGGAGTGATAAGGGGGTATCCTTGAAACGGTTTTATTTTGGTTTTTAGCCATTTCGTCAATAACATTATGATTCTATTTATATTTGTGCCGCCTGACTAGATGGATAAGTTCAGCTTTGACCATATTTTCATTGTGACTAATCTCTTTTGATAGGAGCCATTATTGAATTTCTGCCTTTCTTGTGGACATTGTGGGAATTTTTTCTAGTTTTTTGGTATGGTATGCAGCATTATTAAGTACAATGACGGCATTGTCGTCGAGCTTTGGGAGTGTTTCTTCAAACAATCGTTCAAATGAACTCCTGTCCATTTCTTCATGCTAGTCGGTCGTTTTCTTTGACTCAAATGCCCATAGGGCAATGGGCACAAAGCCATCTGCACTGCCAATGTGACAGATAACAACTCGTTTTCCTTTTTCTGGAAATAATTATTTCATATAGTATGCAAGAAAACTAATAATAATACAAGCAGAGTATCTAATAGGTGTTGGTTGCAAATCTACCAGATATAGCTAAGTTTGAAGTGTGAGCTAATAGATTCAGTCTACTTGACACCAACCAACTGACGAGTTGGTTAGATACACGTACCTGACAGATTCTTTAGGCCAGGGGTAAACCCATCTAAGAAGGCTTGTTTTGCTGCCTTAATTGTAAGGTCAGCCCATACTCTAGGTTTTGTATGTCCTGTATTTATCCAAGTTTCATCCAAGTAATAAATCTGGTCGCGGTATTTCTTCATCGATATTAAATAATTTCTTCTCCATAAAGTAATCGCTTGGCTGTCCATCAAAATACTATTTCTGACCCGTTTTCTATACTCTTAATGAAGTTCTTTGGGTAAACTATAGAATGTGGTCCCTATTAACCTCCTGTAATTCTTTGTCTATGTTGAGAATTTCCTGCCTTTCAAAAAATTGATGGACCTTGCGTCTGATGATGAACAGCTTTGTGGCCTTATGAAATGCAGCCTTTTATATGGCGAAGACAATTTTTATATATACAGGGTGTCCCAGAAGTCAACGTCAAGTCGAAACCGGGTGATAGGCAAAGTCATAACAGCTATCAGAAAAATATTTAAAAAATTTTTATGTATGTGTTTTGAAAATTATAGGTCTTTGAAAAAAATATTAACTAATATTAACTTTTCTTGGATTTTATTTTTACAATGTAATTATGAATAATGCATCTTCAAACTGGTGTCTCAATCTTACTGCCAACTTTTCTCGTTCAGGAAAAATTGCCACTTATTTCCCAACCAAGTATTCCAAAGTAAAACTTTGCTCAACTTTAACTGGCTGTACTGGAAGAAAATGTACTACGAGAGTTTGATAAGTAACCTTAAAAGTTGGCGCATTTAATAAGGATTCCAAAATGGTATAACACTTAGAAGATTACTCGTTAACTTATGCACAACTTTTATTTGAAGAAAAATTTTTCAAAATTTCCTAATTAAACAGCGATTGTGAAAACGCGCAATTAAGGATAACTGTTTGCACAACAGTGGGCGTCAAAATGCTGCTGATGATGATTTACCTTTACAGCAAATGCTCAAACTGTTTTCCTTCAGCCGCAATACACGCTCGACATCTTCTTAAAAAAGATCGGGTTATTAAACGAGTGAATCCACGGTTATTAACAAACTCAGCTGCTTCCAATAGTCTTTGCCGTAGCTCTGATACATTTTGAATCGGCTTGAAATACACTTTTTCTTTTACAGTTCCCTAGTAAAAAAAATCTAACGGATTCAAATCTGGTGACCGGGCTGGCCACGGTATTGTACCAGACCGCCCTATCCATCTGCCTGGAAAGTTTTGATCGAGATACTCTCTCACTGAGAGTGCATAGTGCGCTGGGCAGCCATCATGCTGAAACCACATGTCCCTGTAAACACTCAGTGGCACGTCCACCAATAAATTTTGTACATGATTTTTCAAAAAATCCAAATAAACTTCAGCAGTCAAAGTCTCTGGGAACTCAAACGGACCGATTATTTTACCATTGAAAATTCCTGTCCAATGGTTT